TTCTACTCCTACTAGAATGTAAGCTCCATGAGAAAAGGAAGTGCCAGCTCTGTGGAGTCACTAAGGTCTGAGGCAGGATCACTAGGGTCTAGAATTGTGCCTGACACAGAGTAGATGAAGATGCTCAGTACAGATCTGTTGGGAGGGCAAAACAGCACTGTGTATCATGTAAGCAAGGAATCCTATGTGGACATGGATGAGCTGTGTGGCCTTTGGCTGGTTATGTAACTTCTGTGCAACAATAAATTGAGAAAAGGAAGATATTTCTTCCCCTTTCTCCACTATGGTGTGAGGGTGACAAATACATAAGAGCATAGTAGAATGAGACAAATAAAATGAAAATGCTGTCTGTCAGGCATTAAAGCAACCACAGCAGCCCTTAACAAATATCACCTTGAGCAAATCTAACTTTTAATTAATCCCAAGTGGCAACCCTATGCCTCTATGGTTATAGAAAATATGATTCTTCAAACACAATTTTGATCCTTGCCAAATACTTTTCTACACATATATTGCTGTAAGTAGGCCAGTCAAGTAGAATCGAAATAGTTTTTCAAACCAAATCCTTGCAATAGCCAAACTAGCATACTAAGCAAACCCATGTATTAGAGTCACCTTTAAGGACCACCTCTTTCTGACCTGGGTGGGAAGTTGTCTTCTGGGGATACAACACAACGTAATGGGCAAAAGCACTGGTGGTGGCAACTTATTGTTTGGGTTCAAATGCCACCTTTGCCACCCGTCAGGTGTCCTGGGCAAGCCATCTGGATTGTCTGGCCCCAGTTTACTCATCAGTAGAACTGGGGTGATGTTAGCACTTAAACATCATTACGTTGTTTTGGTGATGCAATGAGTTAAGGTGAAAAACATTCATGAAGCAGAGCCTGGTATATAACAGTATATAGTAAAAGGAGCCATTCTTACTAGGAGGGAATGCAGAGGACATTCAGTAAACTGAAGTTTCTACCAGATGGCTCTCTGCAAGTTAGTCTGGTTCCTAGAATGCTAATACTTACAACAATGTTATCTAAAAATCTAGACAGGCATTCCTTTCTCATTACTAATAATATAAATAAAAGTCATAAATTCAATGAAGATAAGTTGCCTTGATTTTCTTTGTTTAGGAATATGATTTGCTTTTAAATAAGGGTGAGAGATAGGCAGAAGAAAGTTTCTCTGATGAATACTATTAGCTTTTTAACAGCAGTCTACAGTTGTCATCATGAAGTACATATTTTTGGTTAGGATTTTAACCATTTTCTCTTTTTTTTCATTAAGATTTTTTTAAATCTTCAGTTTATTTTATCAAATCCCCAAGTACTCAGTACTACAGTTTTAGTTACATAGAATATTCAACAAAGAAGCAATTCAAGGCACATTTTTGAGATTATACACACACACACATATAAATACTAGTTATTTTCTGTTTATTTACAAATTATCTAGTCTCAGATATCTGTTAAAGCAAAAGAAACAGATTAAGACACAAGGATGGCTGGGGTTGGCAGGGGATCTGATTTGCCTGAAATACATTTGTACACAGTGATTTTCCACTCTCGTCCTCCACTCCCTGTGTCCACTCATAGCATTTATCATCAGTACTTTACCTGGAAGGAAAGTTCCATGCAGGCAGGAACCTTCTTTGCTTATCTGCTTCCATAACAGTGCCTGGCACACAGCACATTTCCAGTGTGGACAAACATAGACTCTATGAAAGGGGTTTGTATTCACCTGCTTTCCTCAGGTCAGGCTACCTCTCAGGTGCGTGGGTAGTTGTGCACGGACACTGACGAGCTTGGGCCAGTTGAGCAGATGTAAGTATTGATAAAAAGGGTGCATTCAAAGAAAAAGAAGGGTGGCCAAAGGAAATGAGAAGAAGAGGGGGCAAAACACAGGGGGAAAGTCAAGGGCAGCTTTTGTAAATCAAGGAATGACTACTGGGGAATGTCAAATGTTGAAAAGATTGAACTAGATGCAAATCAGAGTGTGACATGGAATGTAATGATTAGGAGGCTTGGAATAGCCTCAGTGGCTACTGGATACAAAAACAGACTGCAGTGGAAAAATGAATGAGAGTCTGGGAGTCAGTGGAAGCAGCAGATATAGATTGGATTTTCAAAATATTTGGTCTTGATGGCAACAGATCATGGAAGTTGGAGGAGTAACTCCTTAGAAAGAGTGTTTGCATCCTTAGCTTGGGTTAATGCAAGTATATTTAAAGACCCAGAGGAAGGATTCTCATCTGTCCCAAACAAAACAAAACAAAACAAAAACTGATTATGTAGGACAAAAAGCATAATCCATATTTTGAGCTCTAAAGATGGAGACGGGATGAAACCTATAGCAAAAGTGGGACTGAAAAAGGAGATAAAAAGCAACAAAGAGGAGGAAGTAGGTAGAAAAGAGGAATATTCTCCTGCCCTAAAACCTAACAGCCACACACTGAACAGCCTAAACCAGAGACCAAGATACTGGTAGCTTTTTGCTTTAAAACAAGGCCAGAGAATTGGAATCTGGGCACAAACCCAACCTACCTTATGGGATGAGATTGTTTGGGCTTAATTGGGGATCCAAAAATAGAGGTGACTCAAAGACCACCGAAACAGGCTAGAACACACTCCTTATCTCCCACAACAGTAAAGGTACTATTAAAATGGCACTAATGAATCAGTGTTATATACTACCTACCACCTACTAAACATTCTTACAACAGAAACTCAGATCAGGAAAAACAGCGACCGCTGGGTTGCAGAACACAGTAAGATCAATTTCACTGCTTAAGTTTTTGAAGAAGAAAATACTTTTCCCTTGATTTTTTTTCTGAATTCATTGATTTTCCTCTAGATGTGACATCTTTCTTCAATGTGAAAAAAATTAACATTATGATACACTTTGTTTCAAAATTTATAATACATTCCAAATATCTCAGCAGTAATTTAAACTTTAAAGGTGACAATAAAATACTTGATCATGGGAAAATGTATAACAAGTTGTGAAATTCAAGTAAAACATTAACATTATGAGTTGAAAACAAATGGTACAATAAACATAGCAGGCAAATTCACAAAACAGACAATAAGGCATTTAATAATTTTGGGGGTTTTTGATAAAGTTTGGTAGTCCTTAGGAACTAGGGATGCAGTATTCACAAATAACTTCTCAGAGCTAAACTTATATAAAATTCTGTGTGAACAGGAAAAGAAAACAAAGAAGGACAGACTATTCTCACTCTTAATAAACTGGAATCACACAAAATAACATTGAATATTATTTTAAATGGCTTTTCTTAAATATTCAGGGTTGGCGGAAATGTATCAGAGCCTCCCTGCTGCTAGAATAATTAAAAAGAGATAAGATGGAAAGAGGAAGGAGAAGTCCTTGTAGATGTCTTCTATACTTTAAGGAGAGAAAGTTTAGCAGCCCGGAGGCAACCAAAGGGCAAGAGAGGTACCTGCAGGGACTTCTATCAGAACCCTATCTCCATCCTGAGTAACCACAGTAACTTGAAGAACTAGTTTCCCCCAAGGTTCAGGAAAATACGAGAAGAAGGCACTTAAAATGGCTACTGTGGCTCCACACAAAACTGAAGAGTGAGGGAGAACAAGATGTCCAGCCACGAACTAGAAGGTGTCAAGAATCTCCCTGAAGCACATTAGAACTCAGTTCGTGCCACCCCCTGATTCTGCAGATGAGAAAACCAAGGCGCAGAGGGTGAATCTCACTTGCTCAAAGTCACAAGGCATCTTGATGGTGTCCTCAACACTTGTCTGTGTCATCCCACTGTCTCCTAATCCAGGAAGCCACTCAGGACTGAAAAGAACCCAGCAACCAAGAGATCATTACTTTTCCCTTAGCCAACTCTCAATTTTTTCCCTATATTTTTATTATAGAAAATGTCTAACACCTGTAAGTAGAGAGATAAGAATAATAAACCCCCTGTACAATGATTAATTCATGGCTGATTTTCTTTCTTCTATACTCTCATCCATCTCAATCCTCCTACAGGATTATTTTGAAACAAATCTTTAATATCATAAAAATTAAATGCTCAGAGAAACTATATAGCTGCAAATGTAGCAGAGAGTTTTCCTCAGGGAACTGTGATGTCCTTATTCCACGCCCTCATGCCATATGTAGTATGCGTTAGTTTATTTTGAAACTAAAGGCCAGTCTTATCTCAGTGCTCTGACCAGCAAGACACTCCCTGTGGCCCTGTACACACACTCACAATGTTGGGCTGACACGGCAAGGTATTTCGATGATGGTATTGTTTGGGGCAGTAAACTAAGTATGAAGAGAAACAACCTTTTATGTTCAACAAAAAATCTACTGACACTGAGTACTTGTTTAAATTGGGCTTAATTAAGGCCTGAGATTTAAAGGCAATTTCTTATACGAGTCCATGTGAAAGGCACTAAACAATGTAATTCTTACATTGAACAAATCTACAGGTTATATTAACTGAAAATACAGCAATAGGGTTACTGCTTCCTAGGAAAGAGAGCATTTATGTGTCTTAAAAACATGACATGAGTTTAAAATGAAACAACAAACAAGGCAACAGTTTTCTTACATACAGCTATTGAAATCTTGCCTACAGACTAAATACAGCAGAAAGGACATTTTTAACAAGTTTTAATTAACAAATAAGACTGTGCTACTAAAAGGAGATACTTAAAACAGGTAATTGTGTGTGTCTGTACAAGAGAATTTTGCTACCACAATGTTGATGAATAATATTACCACTTCCAGTTCTGTACTATTTCACATCCCCCTACTCATAAGTCCAATTTTATATGAATTTATAAATATAAATTTTAAAAACATTAGAAAGTCAAAACAATACAAGAGGAAGTCTAAGATGTTTTCCATTAAATGAGGTAATATCCCTTAAATATAGATTTTTTTTTGCTGAAAAAGCATCTTGAAAAATATAATATTCTATTTGGAAACATTTTAACAATTTATCTTAGTTTATAACACAGTTATGAGACTCATACCTGCTGAAGTTTCTCTAAATTTGTCGCTGGTCTTCTTTTTCCTCCATTTCCAAGGCTTAAAGATTTTACCGATGGTGGATAGTTTCCCCTTTCTCTTGAATGGAGGTGTTTGGGAACCTGCTGTGGGGCCATCTGAATTTGCTATAGAAGCTTTGTCCAGTCCATCAACTGTTCAGAGAAAAAGAAAGTCAGAAGAAGGCTTCAGTCAAAGTTTGTAACAACAGCATCCACTTCATCCTGGCCTGTTAACAGTAAGCATGCCTACTCTCACGGAATCTCACGTAACGTTTATTCTGTCCCATTTTACAGCTGGTAGGAACCTCCTGGTATCAATCAGTAAGTCAATCAATCAGAAATTATATTCTTAGGTAATCATTTTGGGGAACCAGAAAAGAAGCTAGAGCCTTACATGACAGGTAGGGCCAGACACACAAGAGCCTGTGAAACGCAGCCGGATCCATCCGCAACAACAGCATCAATATTTCACGCAAAATATTCTAAGGATTCCTGAGGTAGGATGTTCCTCCAGAGACTAGTTTGGCATTGTTAGCAATGAACATTACAGTTACAGTGTAGTTAAAACCATGGTTTCCCCTTCACAAAATATAATTTGATGCCAGGAAGTAAATGCTATTTTTACAATGCCAAACTATCTTTTGCCTCTATTACAAAAAAAAAAAAAGTTGTTATGTTTCAAGTAAAACGATAGTTAATACTAACAAGATATATGTGGAAAATATGGGCACTGGGTATGACCAAACAGATCTTTGTATGCCATTATTTTGTTGATTAGAAAAAGGGTACAAAAATCTTAAGTTGTCTTGTACTATGTTCTAAGCAATAACCTATATTAACCCAAGTAATATAGTTTAATGGCAAAGAATCGGAAGCATCTGAGAAATGGATAAACTGGTCTTATTCATTCAGTGAAGTAGCACTAAGCAATTAAAAAAGAAAAAGAAAGAACCATTGATAAGACAGGAACACAAATGCAGCTCAACACTGTGTTTAAAAAACCACATAGTAAAGAGTATATGTTGTGTGGCCCCATTTATAGAAAGTTCTAAAACCGGTGAAATAAGTTTGTGGTGGAAAAAAGGAAAGAAAAGGAGATGAAATAGAAAGAACAGTAGTTTCCTCTTGGAGCGAAAGGGAAGCAGGAATTAATGGAGAAGGGGCTCAGGGAACTTCTGGTTGTGATGGAAATTATCTCCATAATGGCTGAACTACACAAGACTCTTCTAATTGTTTTTATTTATTTATTTGACAAGTAGAGTTATAGACAGTGAGAGAGAGAGAGAGAGACAGAGAAAAAGGCCTTCCTTTTCCGTTGGTTCACTCCCCAAATGGCCGCCACAGCTGGCGCTATGCTGATCCAAAGCCAGGAACCAGGAGCTTCTTTCTGGTCTCCAATGCGGGTGCAGGGGCCCAAACACCTGGGCCATCCTCCACTGCCCTCCCGGGCCACAGCAGAGAGCTGGACTGGAAGAGGAGCAACCGGGACTAGAACTCGGCGGCCATATGGGATGCCGGCACCACAGGTGCAGGATTAACCAAGTAGCCACGGCGCTGGCCCCAAGACTCTTCTAATTTTATTTATGATTGTGTGTATTCCATTTCATGTAAAATTTATCTGAGAAAAAAGCATAAGCAAATGGTTAAGTCTGATGAAAGATATGTTGAAGTATTTGGTGGCTAAGTCTAGTAATAATCGTGAAAAAACTGGACAAAGAGATGGACTGGGTAGATGGAAAAATACACAGAGAATTAAAATACAGCAAAAGGTTAAGTGTAGAACCTAGGTGGTGAACATCTGGGGGTATAATTATTTTGTCTTCTCTGTATTTTTGAAAACTTTCATAGTAAAATCTTGGGAAAATAAAACAAATAAACCCAAAGACTTAACAGCAAGGACTTGGGCTTCTAGGAAGATGGAATAGATGTACTCTGTCCTACTCCTCTTGCTAAATCCAACTAAGCAAATACTGGATGTCTCTCTCTCTCTCTCTTTTTTTTTTTTTTTTTTTTTTTTTTTTAAAGAATTAAAGACTCTGGACTCTGTAGGGCAGAGAGAGAGAGCCCATCAGTCTGGGACCTCACAACCCAGGAAACAACATGGCGCTGTGATGCGCCCTGGTTTTCTGTTTGCCTTATACATCCACATCTACAGCTGAAGTCAGCAACCCCGAATGCCAATGCAGCAGAGATCAAAAATGCCTCAAGAAAAGCCTGCCCCTCTGCAGCCATGGGAATGGGACTGGGGCAGCAGCAAAAGCAAACTTTCAGACAATAACCATCACACACCACAGAGCACATGGTGGCCTTCCACGCTAGCACAGCCCTCCACCCTCACGAGAAGCCAACGAAGAGTCCTAATAGCGCTGGGGAGTGTGAGAGGAAACCAAGTGGGAGCCAGGCCCTTCATGTCTGCCTGCTTGCACTGAAGCACCCGCCACGGTATCAGTGGAGACCACCAGAGGAGCATGGCGGTCTGACCCTTCCCAGCAATAACCAGGTACTTTTTCTTTCCCCCCAGCACTGGGGTGGGATCAAACCACTGTTCATGAGGAACAAGGCCATCTCCACTATGGCGTCAATGGAAGGCCTAACATACAGTATGTCAACAGAGGACAAGCAGGAAACCTGGCTTCTTTCTTCCAGATGGGAATGACAAGGTGGCATCTACTGCTTCCTGCACTGGAATGCCAATCAGAACAGAAGGTTTCAATAAGAAACAATACAAAAATGTCCATGTTTCAGTCAAAACTCACTCAGCATACAAAGAACCAAGAAAATCTCAAACTGAATGAAAAGGGATAATCAATAGATGCCAACTCCTAAAGCCTTATGAGCTCTCCTCCCAACAAGTACGCTTCTTGTGTACATGAGAACCACTCTTAACTTCAGGTGCTATTTGGACAGATGTACCCAGAGTTTTATGGGAAAGTGAACTGAAGACCACAGTTCTGCACTGACTGATTCTGAACATGGTTCCCAACTCTACTTTCAGTCACAAGGCAACAGAGAGAGAGAGATGGGCTGATTTCAAACTAAAAATAAAGATGTAAGTTTTTTTTTTTAAGATTTATTTATTTATTTGAAAGTCAGAGATACAGAGAGAGAGGAAAAGACAGAGACAGACAGACACACACACACCCCCCAATGGTCAGGCTGAAGTCTGGAGCTTCATTTGGGTCTTCCACATGGGTGCAGGGGCCCAAGCACTTGAGCCATTCTCCACTGCTTTCTAGGTGCACTGGTAGGGAGCTGGATGGGAAGTGAAGCAGTCAGGACTTGAACTGGTGTTCATATGAGATGCCAGTGTCACAGGCAGAGGCTTTACCTGCTATGCCACAATTCTGGTCCCAAGACATAAAATTAAGCTGCTGTCTGAGATGCTGCATCCTGTATGAGCACCAGTTTGAGTCCCAGCTGCTCCACTTGCTATCCTACTCCCTGCTAATGCACCTGGGAAGGCAGCAGAGGATGGTCCAAGAACTTAGGACCCTGCCACCTACTGGAGACCTGAATGGAGTTCCAGGCTTCTGGTTTCAGCCTGGCCTACCCCTAGCTGTTGCAGTCATTTGGGGGAGTGAACCAGTGGATGGAAGATCTTTCTTTCTCTCTCTCGTTCTTTCTCTCTATCTCCACAGATCCAGTGCCCTGACACTCTAAAAATTCTGTGTTCCCTCTGAACCAATGAAGCACAGTCTATTTTTCTCCTGAAGATAAAAATACATAAAAAATAATAAATTCCCTAGATGACAGCAAGTGGTAAGTGATATGGGTAATTGATCAGCAAAAAATGAAAGCCTTCATGTTAAAATTCATAGCTGCATAAGAAATTAACTGTCACTGTCTTTCTTTATTGTACATTCACATTTATATCTTAATCTGAACTCTGCAAAGGGCCCGGCCAGTGCCAATGGCCATCGCAGTGTACAGACACTCACATACTCCCTGTATCCATCTGTGGTTTTAAAATTGTTAAGCTATTGTGGTAAACCATCCTTATAAGTTGAAACCATGAGGGCACATTTGGCCAAACTGCCATTGAACTTTTCCTAAATCATGAATGTGAAGGGGACTATCTCCTGCTTTTGAGTAGTATGAGCAGAATATAAACTCTTCTTTTCTCTAGACAGTATGGTGGTGGTAACATTGATACTTCTACAATTTTCCTTTTGAACCAACTTATATTATAATCTTTTTGAGGGGTGGGTGTTTAGGCAAGTGGTTAAGATACTACTTAAGCTATCATTTGCAACACCAGCATCGCCATATCAGATGCCAGTACAAGTCCCAGCTTCTCTGCTTCTGATCCAGCTTCCTGCAGGTCTGTCTGGGAAGACAGCAGAAGATAGTACAAGTGCTTTGGTCCGTGCCACTCACGAGGGAGACTCAGATGAATTCCCGGCTCCTGGTTTCAGTCTGGCCCAGCCCTGACTGTTGCAACCATTTGGAGAGTGAGTCCCACCATCCCCGTGCTTTAAAAAAATAAATAAATCTTTAAAAATGACAACAACAATAAAAAAAAAAAACAGAATCCTAAATCCCATATTGGAGTATCTGGATTTGAAATCCAGCTTTGGCTCCTGACTCCCACTGCCTACTAATGCAGACCCTGGGAGGCAGTGGTGATGACTCAAATAGTGGAGTTCCTGCTGCCCACATGAGATATCTGTATTGAGTTCCCTGTTCCTGGCTACAGCCCAGTCCAGTCCTAGCCATTTTGGGAATTTGGGGAGTGAACCCAGCAGACAGGAACTCTCCCTCTCTTTTTTCTTTTTTTTTTTTTTTATTTATTTATTTTTATTTATTTATTTATTTTTTTTGACAGGCAGAGTGGACAGTGAGAGAGAGAGACAGAGAGAAAGGTCTTCCTTTTGCCGTTGGTTCACCCTCCAATGGCCGCCGCGGCCAGCGCGCTGCGGCCGGCGCACCGCGCTGATCCGATGGCAGGAGCCAGGAGCCAGGTGCTTTTCCTGGTCTCCCATGGGGTGCAGGGCCCAAGCACCTGGGCCATCCTCCACTGCACTCCCTGGCCACAGCAGAGGGCTGGCCTGGAAGAGGGGCAACCGGGACAGAATCCGGCGCCCCGACCGGGACTAGAACCCGGTGTGCCGGCGCCGCAAGGCGGAGGATCAGCCTAGTGAGCCGCGGCGCCG